TAAAACAAAAATTTAGCGATTTTTTAATAGTTTTCCTATGAATCCATTAGTCCGTATTAATTTTGAAAACTAACGGTTTTTACATTCGAACAATCAAAGCTTTACACTTTTTTGTGCCCACCCTGTGTATTAAAGAAATGTCATTTTTAATACCAAATACCATCACTAGAGGGGCCTACCATAACAAACTTAAAGAAACTAGAATGTAAAAAATAGAACAACAAAAACGTATAAAAACTAATGAATATTAACAAATTGAAAACAAAAAATATTTATTTAATAAAAATAATAATATAAAACTATTTGTTTACGGAGAAAGGTTCAACAATTAGTTAAAAATCAAATATATTGTTAAAGAGAACTGCATAAAATGGCTTTTTCTGTGTCCAGTGCGCATGAGACGCGATAAAAAAGAAGGGTAAATAAAACTAAATAACCTAAAAATCCATAATAATAAACAACAAACTTAATAAAATGTTTAATTATTAAAAATATTCAATAACAAAAGTTATTATTTGTTAAAACTACAAAGACTTAAGCAACATACATACTTGTTTTAGGGCTAAGAAAACAAAAAGACTTAAAACACAAACTTGTTTTTGTTATTGTTTCTATTTTATTTTTCTTTCACAGCCACAAATGCCAATATAGAACGTGATTTACCCTTACCTGGTGGAGTGGGCTTAGGCCGTATTACCGGTTCCTCCAGCATAGAACTTTGGTACGAGTGGGCATCGAAAGGAACATGGCCTAAGTCCAGACTCTAAAATGGTAGTTTTGCATGACTTTACAACCCTGTGTGGATGATGAACTCGAAGTTAAACGTGGCCAAATTGTTAATATTCTTTATAGGGAAAATGATTGGGTTTACGTTATAGGGGAGGACTCACGTCAAGAGGGTTTATACCACATTCATATTGCGCCCCCTATAATACACAATTGGCCGATATGGCCATAAAAAAGAAAATTGCCTCGTGGGTGCATCGAATGCACCAGAAGATCATAGTGAAAATATGCCCCTTATTACCGGGTAGTGACCAATCTAAATTAGATTTAATAGAAGAGGTAAACAATGCTCAGGTTGGCTTTAAAAAATGCTGTAGCCGAGCTGGCCTCACCCACATTATAGAACCGGAATGTACACCCTTTCACAAGGAACCCAATGGAACGTTATATTGTCCTTTACACTTGTATAGCTCGCGATGAGAACGATTTGTCTGTGGAGAGAGGAGAATTTGTTACTCTTCTTAATCGTGATGATTCCGATTGGTTTTGGATAGTACGTAGTGATGGCCAAGAGGGGTTTGTTCCTTCTGCTTTTATTTATCCAGCCGATAGTGTATTGCAAACACAACAAAAGCTTTTGGAAAGTAATTTGAATAAAACGAATACTCATTATCGTCGGATATGTTAACAGGTTCAGGGCCTACTCAGGGCAATTTGAATTCGTTAAGCCAACCGGTATCTATGGGAAATAATGCTTTAGATAATACTTTGCAACAACAACAGCAGCAGCACACTAAAACTCACAAAATTCCGCTCAAATTCCGGCAGATGACTTGAGATATGGCACGGAGTTGGTGATGTTATACGATTATAAGGTAAGGAAAGGGAGTTTGGCCGTAATGAAACAGAATTCCCGGTAGGATTGTTTGCATAGGCGGACAGACGCACAATGGGTTATATCGAAAAAAAGGAAATAACATTTCACATAGAGAGGAAAAGTTGTCATGCCGTAATTATGCTAGAACTGAACTGAACTAGAACTGAACTAGAACTGAAAGTAGAAACTGAACTAGAACTGAAACTAGAACTGAACTAGAACTGAACTAGAACTGAACTAGAACTGAACTAAACTGAACTAGAACTGAACTAGAAATGAACTAGAACTGAACTAAAACTGAACTAGATCTGAACTGAACTAGAACTGAACTAGAACTGCACTAAAACTGAACTAGAACAACTAGAACTGACTAGAACTGAACTAGAACTGAACTAGAACTGAACTAGAACTGAACGAGAACTGAACTAGAACTGAACTAGAACTGAACAAGAACTGAACTGAACTAGAACTGAACTAGAACTGAACTAGAACTGAACTAGAACTGAACTAGAACTGACCTAGAACTGAACTAGAACTGAACTAGAACTGAACTAGAACTGAACTAGAACTGAACTAGAACTGAACTAGAACTGAACTAGAACTGAACTAGAACTGAACTAGAACTGAACTAGAACTGAACTAGAACTGAACTAGAACTGAACTAGAACTGAACTAGAACTGAACTAGAACTGAACTAGAACTGAACTAGAACTGAACTAGAACTGAACTAGAACTGAATTAGAACTGAACTAGAACTGAACTAGAACTGAACTAGAACTAGAACTAAAACTGAAATGAAACCGAAATAGAACTGAACTAAGTTTAAGTTATGAGTTTGGACCTCATAAACTCAACCAGAAAGAGTTCAGATGACTCCACAGTGGGTAAATTGAAAATCATCCCAATTCTTTATTTCTGTGCCGATTTAAAAGATTCAAATATATAAGAAATCTACTGAACAGTTACTATAATCTAAATACGATATAATATTACAATTTTTTTCTTTTAGGCTCAAGCACCCGATGACTTAAGTGTTCGACGTGGCGATTGGATTTATGCCGATTTAAATAATCAAACCGTGGATGGTTGGTTATGGGCTTATGCACCCAAAACACGTAAATATGGCTTTATACCCAAGGCCTATGCAAGGCCACCAGCCATGACCAGTTTATAAATTAATAAAAAATAAAACATTTCAAACATTTTTTTAAACATACAATTATTTTAAATTGCATTTATTATAATTATCATTTGTATTGCTCTATAATATAATATTATTTGTATTTTAATGATTTCACTATATACTAAGTATAAACTCTAATTGAGAATACAATATTTTAAAGTCTATTTTTTCTGCAAGAACATTTTTTTAATATGTACGTTTTTGTTTTTAGTTATAAGGTCACTTTAATTTAACTATTTTACAAATAAGATTTAGTCTCTAAGATTTAGTATTAGTACTGTATATGTAAATTATTGTTTGGGGCACACAACTAAAGGCAAAAAACTGCAAAAAAAAGAAAAATGTATTGAACCTACAACAAAGCATTAATTAATTATATTTTACATAAAAAATATATTTACTTTTAACGTAAATTAAATAAACTAAAAGCTATTACAAAAATATTTCATTTGTGTGTGTTTAATTATGAGGGTTTTTCTATTTGTTCTACTGAAATAATTATGCTCAACATAAGTATCAATAGAACAACAACCATTTAGACACCTTTTTTTCTATTTATTAAAGAACCTAAACTAATTTAAAATAAACCTTTATCGTTAAAAAATAGAAATAAAGGAGGGATTCTATGTTTAATTATAGCATCCATTTGTTTAAAAAAAAATGTGTTTTTAAATGTTACCGTTTGTGGGATTTATATTGAGATTTCTAGAAAAAGAAAGTAAAATTTGTTAAAAAATAAGTTTAATTTTAAATGTAAAGATTACTTACTTAAGCATTTCTTTGAGTTGTTCGTTTTCTTGCATTTCTTCGCGCAATTTTTGTTGTAGTTGTAATATCAAATCATTCTTGGTATTGACTTGTAACTTTAAATGTGCTATAGTTTCTTCTTGAGCCTCGAAAATTGCCTAGAAATATAGTTATTTAAAAGTAAAATATAGTGATTTTCGCAAGATGATGTTTTATGAAGGGAACAGTACTGATAGTATGGGGTCCAAATGAGCTAGAACTGAACTAGAACTGAACTAGAACTGAACTAGAACTGAACTAGAACTGAACTAGAACTGACTAGAACTGAATAGAACTGAACTAGAACTAACTGAACTAGAACTGAACTAGAACTGAACTAGAACTGAACTAGAACTGACACTAGAACTGAACTAGAACTGAACTAGAACTGAACTAGAACTGACTAGAACTGAACTAGAACTGAACTAGAACTGAACTAGAACTGAACTAGAACTGAACTAGAACTGAACTAGAACTGAACTAGAACTGAACTAGAACTGAACTAGAACTGAACTAGAACTGAACTAGAACTGAACTAGAACTGAACTAGAACTAAACTAGAACTGAACTAGAACTGAACTAGAACTGAACTAGAACTGAACTAGAACTGAACTAGAACTGAACTAGAACTGAACTAGAACTGAACTAGAACCGAACTAGAACCGAACTAGAACTGAACTAGAACTGAACTAGAACTGAACTAGAACTGAACTAGAACTGAACTAGAACTGAACTAGAACTGAACTAGAACTGAACTAGAACTGAACTAGAACTGAACTAGAACTGAACTAGAACTGAACTAGAACTGAACTAGAACTGAACTAGAACTGAACTAGAACTGAACTAGAACTGAACTAGAACTGAAATAGAACTGAAATAGAACTGAACTAGAACTGAACTAGAACTGAACTAGAACTGAACTAGAACTGAACTAGAACTGAACTAGAACTGAACTAGAACTGAACTAGAACTAGAACTGAACTAGAACTGAACTAGAACTGAACTAGAACTGAACTAGAACTGAACTAGAACTGAACTAGAACTAGAACTGAACTAGAACTGAACTAGAACTGAACTAGAACTGAACTAGAACTGAACTAGAACTGAACTAGAACTGAACTAGAACTGAACTAGAACTGAACTAGAACTGAACTAGAACTGAACTAGAACTGAACAGAACTGAACTAGAACTGAACTAGAACTGAACTAGAACTGAACTAGAACTGAACTAGAACTGAACTAGAACTGAACTAGAACTGAACTAGAACTGAACTAGAACTGAACTAGAACTGAAGTAGAACTGAACTAGAACTGAACTAGAACTGAACTAGAACTGAACTAGAACTGAACTAGAACTGAACTAGAACTGAACTAGAACTGAACTAGAACTGAACTAGAACTGAACTAGAACTGAACTAGAACTGAACTAGAACTGAACTAGAACTGAACTAGAACTGAACTAGAACTGAACTAGAACTGAACTAGAACTGAACTAGAACTGAACTAGAACTGAACTAGAACTGAACTAGAACTGAACTAGAACTGAACTAGAACTGGAACTAGAACTGAAACTAGAACTGAACTAGAACTGAACTAGAACTGAACTAAACTGAACTAGAACTGAACTAGAACTGAACTAGAACTGAACTAGAACTGAACTAGAACTGAACTAGAACTGAACTAGAACTGAACTAGACTGAACTAAACTGAACTAGAACTGAACTAGAACTGACTAGAACTGAACTAGAACTGAACTAGAACTGAACTAGAACTGAACTAGAACCTGAACTAGAACTGAACTAGAACTGAACTATAACTGAAACTAGAACTGAACTAGAACTGAACTAGAACTGAACTAGAACTGAACTAGAACTGAACTAAACTGAACTAGAACTGTACTAGAACTGAACTAGAACTGAACTAGAACTGAACTAGAACTGAACTAGAACGAACTAGAACTGAACTAGAATAGAACTAGAACTGAACTAGAACTGAACTAGAACTTAACTAGAACGGAACTAGAACTGAACTAGAACTGAACTAGAACTGAACTAGAACTGAACTAGAACTGAACTAGACTGAACTAGAACTGAACTAGAACTGAACTAGAACTGAACTAGAACTGAACTAGAACTGAACTAGAACTGAACTAGAACTGAACTAGAACTGAACTAGAACTGAACTAGAACTAACTAGAACTGAAACTAAAAGAACTGAACTAGAACTAAACTAGAACTGAACTAGAACTGAACTAGAAGTGAACTAAAACTGAACTAGAACTGAACTAGAACTGAACTAGAACTGAACTAGAACTGCACTAGAACTGAACTAGAACTGAACTAGAACTGAACTAGAACTGAACTAGAACTGAACTAGAACTGAACTAGAACTGAACTAGAACTGAACTAGAACTGAACTAGAACTGAACTAGAACTGAACTAGAACTGAATTAGAACTGAACTAGAACTGAACTAGAACTGAACTAAAACTGGAACTGAACTAAACTAAAACTGAACTAGTACTAAACTAACAAAGTGTCGAAAACTTTTGACACTCACTGTTTAATTAACATTCAAAGTTTGCATAATAATACCAGTCTTTATTGGCAAAAAAGAGAAAATTTGCTTTTGTTTTCCTTTAACAAACAAATTATAATATTAATAAAAATTAAATAATTCATTGCCTTATCAGAAGAATTACGGTCCGAAAGTGTCAATTAGTAAATATTTTGTTGTATTTTTACAGCTTATATAGTATTACGCATTGATTAATTATTGTTTTTTTAACACATGCTCTAGTAATTGTGAAATAAAGACAAAAGAGAAGAAACAACAAGTATGAATGTAGAAGCGGGTATAAACGATACTACGATACCCTATAATAGTTAATAGTATTTTTATTCTGTAATTTCAAAAGAATAGTAGTTTAAAACATCTACGGACCAATGTACACGAAATTTTGTTAACAATTATAAGTCGGATAAACGCCAAATACAAGAGACTGTAGTAAGCTTACATGGACAAAGAGATATAAGGGTGGACATACATATGTGGTTAAATTTACTGGTCTGCTGTAAGGTTAACATCAATAAAAACACGTAAAAACTTACCCGACATTCTTCCATTGATTCCGAATAGGAGGGTGGTTCATCTAAACAGAAAAATTCCCGCACTAGCTGACATTTCCTCAATTCCTCTTTACTCATTATGGAATTTACAAACATTTGCAAACCCTGTATGCGATTATCTAAGAAGACTGCATTAAAATTATCGCCAAATATTTTTTTGCGTGGCAAATTCAAGACAAGATGAGGAAATGATTGTTTTAATTTTGTATTTAAACGTACGAAATCAGTGTAACGTCTCAACACCAACCAACAGTCATTTGTATGAGGATTTTCCACACGTAATTTATAGACCGTGAAACGAGCTCTCTCCTCCATTACCTCATAGCCAATGATGGGTATGCGCAATATACTGTTGGGGTCGACGGGCGGCACCGAATGACCCAGCGAAGAGGAGGCAGCATTTGAGGAAGTGGTCATTTCACTGGTCGACATTGAATTTGTTCTTTGCGACCTTATATAGCTGTTACCTTCACTCATGCGACGACGTGCTGCAGGCAAACCACAATTGCTGACCACCTCTATGTTGTGGGGTGAAGAGACATAAGCCGATTGGCTTAGGTCACGATGAGAACGGGCTCCAGTTAGCATGGTTTTTTGTGTTACTTTTTGTGAATTACGGGGCGTTATTAAAGATTGTGTTAGTGTATTGTTGTTGTTGTTAACAGGAGCTTGATAACTATGTGTAGATATGGTTTTTAGACAAACTTCTGATTTAGCATTTAGTAAAGCACCTTGTTTTGTTTGGTGTATGCTGCTCAACAGCTTATTAACATCACCTTCCGATTTTGTTCTTACCAAACGAGCTGCCTCTAAACGTTTAAGCGTTTCCGAAGGTTTACCAAATTCCGGATTCGATTTTGTTAATCTGCCCAGCAGTTGATGTTGCTGTTTAATATGATTTGCTGATAAATTAAATTGTTGGCAATTTGTACTTTGTATAAAACCCCCACCAGCACCACCATCGCCTGTTAAACAACTAATGCCACTAGTTGATTGTTGTTGCTGTTGATGTTGCAATGCAGCACCTTTGTTACTGTTTTTTGGTGTTAATTTTTAAAGAGCGTAGTTCTTGAATTTAAATTGTTTACACCAGGTGGGGGTAATTGATTCTCGCGCTTTTAATAGCGCGCAAAGACATTGATTGGTAATTAATAAAACAATTCTATTGAAACAATAATAATAATACAAATAATTGCGTATACTTTTGTGGTTGTTTTTGTTATTGTCAAGGCAGTTGGTTAGTTTGGTTGCAAGCGTTGCAAGTACAATTTATTTACAGTATTTGTATATATGTGTATATAATTGTGAGGTTTTAAATAGACAATTGGCAAAAATATGATAATAATGATGACGGCATCATCAGCCACTTTGAGACTCCATTATTAAAATTGTTGTTTGTTGCACTTTTGTATCTCTTTTTTAAGCTTTTTGTTTAAAAACTTGTGTTTATTGTTTTCAACGAATAACTAAGGCACCAAATTTGTTTTTTTGAAATGTTTAGAATTTTTTTGGAGGAAAAATTAAGGAAAATTAGAAAAAAACTAAAATAATATGAAAGAAAAACTGCTTTGTTGTGTGATCTTTTTCGTTTTCTTCTTCTGTTTTCTTTCTATTGCTGTCAAATGACAAAAAAACATGACCAGACTAATTTGTATAGAGATGCCGTACGAAAAAAAATTACGAGTAATTAGTAATGCTAATGTATTTTGTTTGTGAAAATAAAATCGTTAAGCAAAATTCAAAAAATCGCTTTAACATTTTTTTATTTGTACAGTATTTTATTAAATAACATTTAAATTCCTTTCCTTGTTTAAAAGTAGTTAAAGTTGTTGGAAAAAAGTACAAAAGTTGTAGCAAAGATCTATTTTACCATAATTTGTTGTAAAAACGAAAAAACGCTAAATAGACAACTTTTAGATTTTCCTAACATTATGGCATCACTCTTTTGTAAATGTGTCAAAATAAAACGTTGACAAAAGAGAGAGCACACAAAAACACAAAAACGTGCTCGTCTAGATTTTCTTTTAATTTTGTTGAAAATTTATATAAAATTAAAAAACTAAAGAAAGTCTTTTAATAAAATTATCAAAATGGTACGGCATAATAATCAATTGCCGGATAATCTGCCGCAATTGCAGAATTTAATCAAACGTGATCCCGAATCCTACAAAGATGAATTTCAACAGCAGTATAGACATTTTCTAAGTAGCCTGGAAGTATTTGCCCTAAATCCCACCGAGGAAAATAAATCCTTAGATGAATTAGTAATGTTTATAGCGCAAGTAAGTAGTAGCAAACATTAATACAACTAAAAATTTGGTTGTTCTCTTATAATGTGTTAATTTATGATCCTTATAGGTGGCCCAATGTTATCCTGATATTTGTATACAATTTCCCCAACATTTGGTGGATTTATTGAAAAATCATGCCACCACCTTGGATCCCGTGATGCGTAATTGTTTTGTTAAGGCTTTGATATTGCTGCGCAATAAAAATCTCATACCAGCCTTGGACCTGCTGGAGTTATTCTTCCAACTGTTACGTTGTCCCGACAAACATTTGCGTACATTTTTACAGAACCACATTATAACGGATATTAAAAATATGAATGCCAAACATAAGGATATGAAATTGAATTCTACTTTACAAAATTTCATGTACTCCATGTTGAAAGATGCCAATCCCAAGGCAGCCAAAATGTCCGTAGACATTATGATAGAGTTGTATAAGAAAAATATTTGGAATGATGAAAAAACCGTTAATGTTATAGCCACAGTGGGTTGTTTCTCTAAAATTACTAAGGTAAATTGTCAGAATTTAAAAAAATTAAGTTTTTTTTTTTAAATTTGTTTCTCTTATTGCAGGTGCAAGTGGCTTCTTTGAAGTTTTTCTTGGGTCATGATGATGAGGATAAAGGCTCAGATGATTCAGACTCTGAACCTGAAATCGATTTGAAATCGGCTCTTATACAAAGTCGTGTCAATAAGAAAACAAAAAAACGTAAGAAGCAATTGGATCAGATTAAAAAGCAGGCCGTTAAACAGCAAAAGAAAAAGAAGAATGCGGTGGCTTTCAATTTCTCTGCAATTCATTTGATACACAATCCTCAGGGCATGGCCGAGGGTCTGTTCAAACAGTTGCAGGCGGGCAATGAACGTTTTGAGGTTAAACTTATGCACTTAGATGTTATTTCCCGTCTCATCGGTATCCACGAATTGTTCCTTTTCGCTTTTTATCCCTATATTACACGTTTCATACAGCCACATCAGCGCCAAGTTACAAGAATTTTACAGTTCGCCGCTCAGGCTTCACATGAACTAGTACCGGGCGATGTGGTGGAGCCCATACTGAAAACAATTGCAAATAATTTTATTACTGAGCGCAATTCCTCAGATGTCATGGCTATAGGTTTGAATGCAACGCGAGAAATTTGCCAAAGATGTCCTTTGGCCATGGGAGAAGATTTACTAAGAGATTTGGCCATGTATAAGACCTACAAAGAGAAATCGGTGATGATGGCTGCTCGTTCATTGATTATGTTGTACAGAGAACAGCTACCGGCTTTGTTGCACAAAAAAGATCGTGGTCGTTTGACGGAGGCCCAAGCTGAACTTAAGCCAAAGGCTTATGGTGCTGTTGAAATACATGAAACAATTCCCGGTGCCGAGGCTTTATTGAAAAGTTCTAAAACCATTGATTTGGGCAGTGATGACGATGATACGGATTCGAATGATGGTGAATGGGTCAGTGTAAGTCATAGTGAGGGCGAAGACAATGAAGAGGATGACGATGAAGCAGCAAGTGATGATGAAGAGGACGATGACGAGGAGGATGATGAAGACGATGACGAGGATGATGAAGATTGTGAGGATGAAGATGATGAAAGTGTTGGTAGTGACGATGAGGAGGAGGAAGACAATGAGGATGATGAAGAAGAAAATGACGAAAAATCCGAAAATAATAAGAATGAAACAAATAAAACTAAAGCAAACAAAAATAAAAAGTCTCGATCCAATTCCATTTCCTCAGCCGCCTCAAAATCTTCCAAAAATCACTAAAAGGCAAGAAAAAATCAACGGAAGTTCCGGAAAATGCCACCATACTTAATGAAAAAGAGGCCGCCCAAGAATTGGCACTTACACGCATATTCACCGATGAAGACTTCAAACGCATCAATGCGGCGAACGTCAAGAAAGCTGTGACAAATGCCCGCAAGAGGCCACTAGAAAAGGATCGCGAAGAATTTGTAAAATTAGATAAAATTGAAATGATCTATAAGAAACGTAAACATGATAAAGAACTCGTCTGGAATCGGTACAAAGTGGCCGTACAGATCGTGAGAAATTCGGTTGGAAAGATGGTCGTAAGAATGAAAATTGCTCACGTACGAATCGTGAAAAGGAGAAACGTAAGAATTTCGTTATGATGCGTCACAAGGCTAGATCCAAGGTGAAGAAGAGTTTCCGCGATAAACAGCAGGCAATGAGAAAACATTTGCTGCACATAAAGAAAATGAAATAAAATCAATTTTTTTTTTAATACAATGTTATTACTATTGTAGATTTGTTTTTTAGGTAGAGACAAATAAAATAAATTAAATATATATATTTTTATATTAACAAATTACAGCATCTTGTTTTTATTTAACCACAAATGAAACTCTTTTGTTTACAGTAAACATTGTTAAATGTTTATATTTAATCATTTTTTTATTATTTCAAAAGTTTGTTCAAAGAGTCATTTAAATTTAAACTAATTTAATGCTTTTTATGAGTAAAAATAATTTAAAATCCATTTGGGTTAGGTATGGGAGAAAGTGTAGTCTTACTTAAGGAATATAATTGATAAAAAAAGAACTATACACTATCTTTCATTATCAACGACGTCTCTTATCGGAAGATTTCTTAACACGTTTGGGACCCTTGACAAAACACCAATCCACCTGTATGGGCTGGCCCATAATTTCAGCGCCATTAAGAGCCTCCTTTGCCGCCCACGCTTCTTTATGTGTTTCAAACTCGACCAGAGCATAACCTTTGGAAAAGCCCGTTCTACGATCTAAATTCAAGTGAATATTCTTAATGGCTCCAAAATCACAGAATTTCTCTTGTATTTCATCCTCTTGAGCCTCTTCGTGTATATTGGTGACAAAGAGAATCCAACCTTCTACCGAACGCTGTGGACCCGGTTCCAGTTCATCATCATCTTCATGTCGCACACGTTCATATGTATGTATGGTTTCACGTGTGGTAGTCTCATTGCCAAAACCTCTACCCTTGCGGTGTTTGGCCTTTTCCTTTAGACGTACAATACCCTCTATGGAACAGAAAAAAGAGAAATTTTCATTAAGTTCATCATCAAAATTTGCAATTTAATATTAACTTAAAAATACTTACGATCTCCATCCTCATCGACTTCAAATTCTTCGGCATTATCAATATCTAAAACATCAGCCATTTTAATTTGTAAATGTAAATTATTTGCAAAAATTAAGTAAAATAATTAATTTTCAGTTTCTTTTTTCACAATTCTACAAATCCACACGGCGTTTCTAATGTCAAATTGTAATGGCATCAATTGGTTGTGTTCATGGACAAAAAATCTGACATGTGCTGCGTTGCCAACTATGAATTGGTTTTAATGTCTCGTCAGCCAACGACTGATTTTGACACTAAAAAATCGCCAAAATGTTACTTCAAGTTTTTCTCTGGTAGCACTTCAAACAAAAAAGTGTTTGTAGCAAACAGGAGATACGAAAAATACATTGCAACCTGGTCCACTTTGTTAAGAAACTTTTTCTTAATTCTCTTTTGAAGTTCCCTTAATGTCCACACATAGAAACTTTTGTTTCAGAACTATGTATTAATTGCATTGATTTGTTGTTGAATAAGAATAATAATAAACCAAAACGAAGTTTTGTTTTTCTTTTGTTTCAGAAACTACGTATTAATTGCATTGATTTGTTGTTGAATAAGAAGAATAATAAAACGAAACAAGTTTTGTTTTTCTTTTTCTCTCTCACGCAAAATCAAAAGTTTCCCAAAAAGGATTTTCTAGTGTGGACCGGCAGTAAAAAACTCACACCGCATATATACATGTGAGTTTTTTCACTAACACAATCAAAAAAGTTACCGTTTGAGTCAACAAATTTGATGTGTGGCCATATCGCTTAATTACTTTTAATAATCTGTTGGCTTATGGGGAGGTAGAGAAATTGGAAGGTTAAAACAAATTTAAATTTGTAAAATGTAATGACGACAAATATTGAAGAAGACTTCATAACGGTTCAACTAACTAATGGTTGCCGGCGAAAATTTTAGTGCCAGCCGCCGCCGACATTAATGTTTGTCGGCTCAGGTCTATAAAACCGGCAGGCAGCTGTCACACAAACACTAAATAATTACATTTGCTACTGCTAACTACAAACTTCGGTGACCAATTAATACTACCTACAAAATTTATTAAAAATATTAATAATCATACTAAAGTGCTATTAAATTGTATGTTTACGTTACAAATTGTGTAAAAAACATAAAATAGCTAGTTTATCACCCCTTAGCCCCTCAGCGATCATTTGTATATGAATTTTGTCGTCAGCAGTTTTGTAGTGGTGGTTGAAATTTAACGTACGCTGTTATTCGTACTTCTTTGTTCGGGTTGTTAACATCAGACGAGATTTGACAAGTGCACTTTTTATTTAAACATTTGCAAGTAAACAAAAAAATCGATATAGAAAAGAATCTAAGGGGGTCTCAGCATACAGACATACAAACACATAAATTAATAAATAGGTTAATGCCCCTTAAACAAAACAATTTTCAAGTTATTTTTAAAGAAAAAATATAAATTTCGTATACAATATTTCATTGCCGAAGCGAAAGAAGAAAGTCTGCTTAGTCGACCTTGATTTTAACAGTGATAGGAGCTGCAAAACAGTCATCATATCAGCCAGCTGTTCCGTAAAAGATAAGGTGTTGAAAAAAAAAACTTGTTTTTACAAATAATTACACTTAGTGGCAATTAAAAATTTATTAATAAAATGGCTAACTATTCTGGAGATGTTAAATTAGATGAGCAGATACAATTGTGGCTAAAATGGGATCGTAATGAAAAAACTCTTAAAGAAGTGCAAAAAATGGTGGATGCCATGGACTGGGAACAACTGCGTAAACGTTTAATGGATCGTTTGGCCTTTGGTACGGCTGGCTTACGCGGTTGCATGCGTGCTGGTTTTGATTCTATGAATGATTTGGTCATAGTTCAAACTGCCCAGGGTTTGTGTGAGTATGTTAAAACACAATACCAACCTGAAGAATATGAACGTGGCATAGTATTTGGCTATGATGGACGTTATAATAGCAAACGTTTTGCCGAACTATCGTCCACAATATTTATACAGAACGGTTTTAAAGTTTATCTTTATACTCGTATGGTGGCTACACCCTTTGTGCCCTTCGCTATTGTGCAGAAGAACTGCTTAGCCGGTGTTATGGTGACCGCTTCACACAATCCTAAAGAGGACAATGGCTATAAGGTGTACTGGGGCAATGGTGCCCAGATTATAACACCCCACGACAAGGGTATACAACAATCTATACTCTATAATTTAGAACCCAAAGAGTCCTCTTGGAATACAGATATTTTAAAAGATTCTCCTCTTTACAAGATCCCTATGAAGAAATGTATAGCGCCTATTATAAAACTTTGAAAGCTAATATTCCAGCTAAATTCTTGGAAATAAATGAAAAACAAAAATCATTGGGCAAATTAAAGTTTGTTTATACTGCCATGCATGGTGTAGGTTGGCCCTATGTGGAAAAGGCTTTTGAGGAAGCCAATTTACCAGAACTTTTACCCGTTGAGGAGCAGAAGGAAGCAGATCCAGAATTTCCCACAGTCAAATTTCCGAATCCTGAAGAGGGCAAAAGTTCATTGGAATTGTCTATAAAAAGAGCTGAAGCCGCCGGTGTAAACAACTATTTTGGCCAATGATCCAGATGCTGATCGTTTGGCATGTGCCGAAAAGGATCCTAAAACTGGACAGTGGAAGGTAAGTGGAAGAATTAATCTTGATTTTTCAAATTGATTTACCAAAAACTAATCGATTCTGTATAGAGTTGACTGGTCGACTTTGTATTGAGTTGACAAGTCGATTATGTATAGAATTGACTGGTCGTTTCTGTATAGAGTTGATCGGTCGATTCTGTATAGAGTAGATTCTGTTGACTTTGCCTCTATAAATCTCTATCTAGAGGAGACTGATCGACTTTTTATAAAATTAACTGATCGACACTGTATGGAGTTGACTGATCGACATTGTATAGATCGGCCGGATCGGTCGACTCTGTATAGAGTGGTCCAGTTTAACTGAATTGTATAGAGCAGGTTGATCTACACTATGTAGAGTTGACTGATCCACACTGTATAGAGTTGATTGGTCTATGTTTAGAGACTGCTCGACTCTGTACAAAGTTGAGTAATAAAGACTGTATAGAGTTGTTTGGTCTAGTTTGTCTGGAGTTGACTTGTCAACTTTGATTGTATGATTAACTTTACTTTATAACTTCTTATATTTCTAGGTCTTCAACGGCAATGAACTGGGAGCTCTTTTAGGCTGGTGGTGTGTAGAGAACTATAAAACTCTACATCCCGATGTTAAACTATCGGAATGTTACCTCTTAGCTAGCACAGTAAGTTCCAAGATTTTACGTTCCATGGGCAACGTGGATGGTTATAATTTTGTTGAAACTCTAACGGGTTTCAAATGGATGGCCAACCGTGGCATAGAGTTAATGAATGAAGGCAAACAAGTTCTCTTTGCCTTTGAAGAAGCTATTGGTTTTATGTTTTCTACAGCAGTACTCGATAAAGATGGCGTTAGTGCAGCCACTCATCTAGCCACCATGGCTTGTTATATTAAAGAAACTCAAGGCATTTCCTTGATACAGAAATTAAATGAGATTTACGAAAAATACGGTTATCATTGCACAAATTGTTCGTATCTATTTTGCGACAAAGCTCCTGTAATTAAGCGTATTTTTGAACGTTTGCGCAATTTCCAAGATGGTAAACCGGCCACATATCCTCAGTCCATACTTAACGGGGAGTTTGCCATTAAATATGTAAGAGATTTGACAACAGGTGTTGATACCTCGCAAGCAGATGGTAAAGCTCGTCTACCTGTTAGCTCAAGTACACAAATGATAACATTTACATTCGAAAATGGTCTAGTGATTACTTTGCGCACCAGCGGCACTGAACCAAAGATTAAATATTATGCTGAATTATGTGCTAAGCCAGAGGAAAGAGATTGGCAGGGATTAAGAGAAACTCTAGATCGTATGGTTAATGCCATAGTTGAAGAATTCCTACAGCCTGCTGTTAACGATTTAAAACCAAAAACAGATTGAATATACAAATATTTTGAATTTAGTCATTTAAGTATATATGTAATAATGTGTGTGTTAGTATCTTTTATATATTTTTTTTTAAAATAGACAGATTATAAGATGTATTTTATAAACTTTGTTGCATGCATGTGTATATAACACACATTCCTAAATGTGTTATCCTATAATGTATGTTTGAACTGTATACTTTTTCGAGCGTTTTACGTCTTCGCATTTTATATTTATGCGCATTATTTTTACAAGCTTTTTTAAAAAATAAATATACATTTTGCTATATTTATAGTAATCCAAATTTGGTATTTTAAACTTAGCAGAGGGCTTACTCTATAGTTTGTTTAGAAATAATATATGTTTTTGTTTTCGACTCGTGTTACAGAGTAACCCTTCATTTCCAGGAAATGCATTTGACAAAAAAAAATCTATTCCAATGCACAATTTTATATACATATATTTTATTAATATTAAAAATTGGTATTTATATCTGCTATAACATATTTATTTCCTATCCAATCTATGTAAAAATTAAATTACATTTTAATTTATTGACAAATATACTAATGTTAATACAATACTAAAATAAACCAACATACATACTTTTATTACTACACTATTCTACACCTGTCACAAGAAAAAACCATTCCGATCGAAACATTTCAAAAATTCGAAGTCGAAAACTAGAATTATTGATTTGTATAATTATAAAGGCAAACTTTTGATGCTTGGGAATTGAAACCTTTGTATGGAAAAAGTGACAGTTGTGTTAATTGTGTTAGCTTATTGAAAACGTAGAATTTTCATATACTAGTGGTATTTTTTGTAATTTATAACCAAATAAAAATAAAATAAATAAAATAATATTACAGTTGTTGTTTTTTCATTGGCAAGTTTAAAACATCTCTTACACCTTTTAGTCGTTGCAACAGTGGTTCCGAAACATTTATTTAAAAAAAAGATATCTTAAAAACTATTAAAGATATCGAAATAGATAGATAAATAGATAGATAGAAAGATATATAGATAGATATAGATAGATAGATAGATAGATAGATAGATAGATAGATCAGCTAGAAGCTAGATGCTCGCTACGGTCGCTAGATCGCTCGCTCGCTCGCTATCTATCTCACTCTCTACTCTCTCTCTCTCCTATCTCTCTCTCTATCTAATCTCTCTCTCTCTATCTCTCTCTCGCATATCTCTCTCTATCGCTAGATCGCTAGCCGCTTACTCTTTCGTCGCAGAACTTGACTCCTTTACCATACCTGTAAAGAGACACAATCACTTCTTACTGCACTTTACACTTCCACACCAGTTTTGTCGCACGAATAAAGACGAACCCTTTAAATCGTATCAGAAAACGGTAGACTAGCATATTTAAATCTGTGTTTTTACAGAACCGGACCTTGTAAACAAGAAGTGTGAGTAACGTTCTCTTCCCTCTCCTAATTGTACATCTTCACTCATATCTTTCGTATATTCTATATACAAAAGTTACCATTCCAATAAAAACGTATTCCGTAGCTGTGGGCTCAACCTATCTGGTCAGAGTTGGAATGAAACAAGCGCAAATCCTACGTGCATTTTTCCATTTCTTTTTGAAGTTGTGTCAGTGTAAATCACAAAGTATTGATTTCATCTCATTTGGATCGTATTAGCGCGGAAAAACTTCAATAAAAAGAAGGTTTGGGGTTCAGTAATCAATGCTGTCCTGGTTGCTAGACAGTTGAGTATGGTAGAGTCCTAGGTCACGCACTTATTGTCCTGAGTCTAATCGCTAAGTTGAGAATAACTTTTTAGGCCTTTTAATCATTTGTAACAAATTCATCATAACAAAAAGAGCTTTAGACTGTAGAGTAGACTATAGACGAGACTTTAGACTAGATTATAGAAAAAACTATAGGAGAGACTATATTAGACAAGACTATAGACTGGACTATAGACTTCAATATGGACTAGACTATAGACTAGACTATAAACTAAACTATAGACTGGACAACACATTGAACTATACATTAGACTACAGACTAGACCATAGGCATGAATATATACAAGACTATAGACTAGACTGTAGACTATAGACTAGACTGTAAACTATAGACTAGACTGTAGACTATAGACCAGACTATGGATTAGACTATAGGCTAGATTATACGCTAGACTAGACTATAGGCTAGACTATAGACTAGACCATAAGCTAGACTAGACCATATATTAGACTATATGATAGACTATATATGGGACTATAGACTAGACTTTAGACTAGAATATAGGAAAAACTACAAGAAAGTTTATATATTAGACTTTAGACTGTACTATAGACTATAATATATACTATTCTATAGAGTAGACTATAGTCTAGACTATATACTAGACTATAGACTAGACTATAGACTAGATTATAGGCTAGATTATAAATCAGACTATAGACTAGACTATAAATTAGATTACAGACTCGACTTTTCAAAAACCTCAGATTTGTCGGTTAAAAAGTCAACAGTGGCAACAGTGTCCTTAAAGGAGAAATAAAATAATCAACACACTTTTTTAGTTATGTAAAAAAGTACTTATTTTTTTTTGCATTTATTCAAAATTTCTTTATATAATTTTGCAATAATTTTTATATATAAATATGCATATTGTATGTGGTTGGTAGTAATTTCTTTTCTTATAAAATTTATCTTAAATACTTATTTATTATAAATTTATTAGAATCTGTAATATATTAATAACTTTATATTGTTTCATAAATATTTCACAATTAAAATTACTTTTGATCAATTAAAAGCTATTAAAATTGCTTATTTAATATAGAATTAATTAAAATTATAAAATTTAAAATAAATGAAAATAATATCAGTAAAAATTATAAGATTAAAATTAGCTAAAAATATTATCAAGTTAAATGCATTTCAAGTGTTTGAATTAAGATACGATACAATTAGCTTTAATAATTAAAATACTTATAATGTACAAAAGAAGGTGTTTTTGTGTATAATTTTATTAAAACTACTTAAAATCTTATTCATAAAACATATATTTTTTTTTTTTTCATTTAAACAGCTAAAAAAATTAGGTTAGTAAATTAAAAGAAGAAACAAATAATTTAAATATTACTGTTAATTAAATAAAATGTATGTATTATGAATAAGTTAATAAGCATTAAATGCAATACTTTAATATTTTAATATATTATTTACTTATAAGTATTGTGTATAAAATCGGGCAGTTATAAAATGTTTATAATTTATTTATTTTATTAAAATATGTATCTGTTTTTCAAATACAATTTTTTTTGTTTAAAATTAAAATAAAAATTAAAAAGAAAATATTTATACAGTCTCCAACGTTATTTGTCTTATTGTTAACAAAATTTGAGTTTCTAATTTGGCATTGTTCTGTTTTATTTTATATTTTTTTGTTGCAAACATTAATTCAATATTATTAAAAAAAAGTTTTAAAACTTTTTGTTGTTTAATTTTGTTAAAAAAATTTCATTTTGATTTAAGTACATACAGAACATACCTGATTTAGTAGTTTATACAGGTTAGTTTGTTGCTGTTAAGTTTCATTTAGGCTTAATGTTTAGATGAAGAGCATTTTGTTAAAAGACTTAAGAGGCATTTTGTTAGAGTAGCTTGTTTTTTTTTTAATGTAAATAAATATGCTATTTATAGGTAAATTAGTTTTGTCTAGTATTTGTTAGGATATTTTGTTTTATTTATTTTTCAAGATTATTGTGTATTAAGGAATCTTAAGTTATATTTAGGGCATTTTTTTGTGTGTTTATAAAATGGCAATTTAAATTAGTTTATTTATAATTGTAAGAATTGATATAATAAAATTTTCGTAATTTCATATTGAAAATCTTTCTTTTCTGACAGTTTCTGTCAAATATATTTGAAAAATTTCTATGAAAATGTCATGGATTAGTTAATTTTCTAAATATGTATGTATGTGTATGAGATTAAGGTTTTGGAGGGAATGAAAATAATACATAGTTTTCTAATTTAGACTAGTGATAAAAGTAAGCTTAAATCATTTTAATTAAATACAATTTAATTATCGAATACTTTAAATAAAATCGTGGGAAACTGTTTTAAAACATATATCCGTAAGATAACCCCGATGCTTTACTTGTATTAAAGGTTTCAGAGAAAATGTTTCGGTTTTTTTTTCCATGGAAACTCAAGAAACTTTTGAAGTGCAAAACTATCGCTAACATTGCGATTTATTTATAGAAGTTCAAACGTGAAAAAGTAAACATACTACTTATAAAACATTTGGGCTCCTGCCCTTTACACTTTGAAGATTATGTAAAGTTTGAAAACGTTGCTGCTGGTCCTTTCAATGTTCACTATTCTTCTTGACTTCAACATGCTAGTCATACAACTACAAAAAGCAAACATGTTGAATTCAGGTTTTCAAGATATCTTAGACTTCCAGGTTTTCAAGATATCTTAGACTTAACACCGATTTTCGTCCCATTAGAGACGTTATAAAAGCGCAAAGTCTCATCTAGTTGTAAATTTTTCTATGCCTTCTGAAAATCATATCAATTGGCTCAAAAAAAAGCCAATTATTGTTGTTGTAACAGAAAAACTAAGCACATCAATGTCTAAGCCTAACAATTGTGCTACTTTAACTGGATCTGTCCATAAATCTATTGGACAAAATGAAGTACAATTGATTGAAGCAATTGAATACGTGTTGGGTATTATGGGGACCCTACCACAAGCTGGTCATCCTTTGGGGACATCACAGTTTATGCGTGACCAATAGGTTTTAAGTCTGTTGCTACATCCCGATCTTAGATGTAGCATAACTACTCATGTTTTGTGCGGCAGGTTTTCTTTTGTGTCTACTATGAGCGGTGAACGACCTCAAAGTACGACATTGATACTTTATCATGTGACCTCAGAATTGATAGCATCGATCCTCGTAAAGCTGGCGTATACAAGGATCGATAAAACGGATCCAGCATATCTTATATGTCCTTTTTAACATACCTCTGCAGTCCAGGTGGTTGTAGAAACATCTAAAATTATAGTTGGCAGTTCCAAGTCAATATTCAAGCCTAAAAATTGTGCTACTTGAACTCGATGTTTCCATAAATCCATTGGAAAAGGTAAGTAGGGTTGGCTAAGCATTTGAATATGTGGTGGGTATCATTGGGGATGACACGGTCTATGCGTGACCAGTAGGCATTAACGCTGCTGCTCCATCCCGATCTTAGTTGTGCCAGAACTACTCGTGCTTTCCGCGGCAGCTTTTCTTCTGTATCGGGCGTTGGACGACCTCCGAGTACGACATTCATGCGGTATCCTGCCACTACGGAATTGATAGCATCTTCATGATTGTATACGAGGACTGATCTATTGGATCTTGCACATAACTGCGTATTACGAAAGTCTTACCTATCATTTCGCAGGAAAGCACACAACTGTGTGATGTTAAAGTTGAGATGACTCTTCCGGTGACATCCCAGGAGGAACTGTCAACATGACTTTATGTTCCTTGACTGCGAGGAACTCGTGTAGATGATGTTCCGAGGTAATTTGTAAACAGCCCGTTATAGTTCTTAGGGAGGCATTTTAGCAGTTTTGAATGTTTCTACACTATGCATCAGTGAATGAAGGTGACCATACTGGAGCAGCTTAATAAGTTAGCTAACAAGGTAACTTTATCCATACCCGAAATGCTGCCGGCTAGCGCTTTGAGGAACTTGTTTCTACTTCGCAATTTGTGAGTGATTGCAGTTGTATGAGCTGAGGAGGTAAATAGGCAGTCAAATGTGGCCCTTAAAATTTTGAATGGAACACGGTCGGAATTTGTATTCGATCACAACACTACGAATTAAAATTACTACCATCGTCCAGGTGATAAAAAGCGTTGCTAATAACTTTGCTAGTAATAGTTACCGGTTACGCTGTGAAAAAAGGATATATTTCGTCAACAGAATGCAGTAGTTCAGATAAGATATCCCTATGTCTCGTCTATTCCATAATTCAGTACTGGAAGCAACAAAATCTATGTCTTTTCTCTGAGTCGGTTGGCTATTGGATCGCACAGCGCATTACAGATGAGATTCGTTCTATAATCGCAATATTCGTTTGCGGAATTGAAACCATGCAGAATGTCAATAAACACTACAATCTCTATCCTCCCAGCCACAACCTTTTTTGCAGATTTCAACATGATTCTATGTCATTACCTCGCTGAATGTATATATAAACAATACATTCTCTATCTTCCACCCACAACCTGTTTCCAGTTTCCAACATAATTTTACTTCATTACCTGAGTGCTGGTATCCTCAGTAACCTGATCTCTTTGTAAAGACAGTGTACAACATTAATCTTAAAATTATATTATCATCAACAGCTTTAAAGATTTTACACATAATCAGTAGATCAAAGGAGAGACACCAAGGAATTCGAAGACTACATGTAATACATATATTTTTATATTTCACTATGAGGAAACCTTACTACGAAACCATGATAGTGGCCCTCACTTCCTAAGTCAAAGTGATGAAAAGAGATACCGAGGATTTCGAAGTAAATAAGCTTTGCTTAAAGACTATAACATACAGCCCCTTTCGAAAATCAAATTTAAAAGTAAGCATGTCATTTTGAAACAAGTATTTCTGTCTGGATATCACCCAAATTTCAAAAATTAGAATTAAATTTTTTAGACAAGGATGTATCAACAAATCTAAAAATCTTTTTGAAAATAAAATATTCGAAAATTAAACATTGTATTTAAACTATTCGCTATAACTTTTATCGTATATAAAATAATATCAGATTGAGATTCTTATAAAAACATTTTCTAAAAACCAAAAAATAAATTAATTAATAATAATGAATTTTTAATTTAAAGAATACAGCTGAAATAAAGATTTCCTTAATAAAAGAAAGTTAAAAATAAAGGTCCAGCCATTTAAAAAGTAAAAATTGTAAAATACTTGGTAATAATAGGAAATCGAATTCGTTTTTTTTTCTTCTTAAAAGAAATGATTAATTTTCTACGTAATTTCTGTTGATATGTACTTTTATAAGGAATTAAATGAGTATTATTGTATGCTAGGTTTTTATATTATTATTTTTTTTTTTAAGAAAAATGATTATGTTTAAAAGGATTAATGAGTTATTTTTTAAGTACACTGGGTTTGGTTTCTGTTTAGTTTTACGATTTGAGCATATTTCTCTTATTTTGTGTAAAATATTAATAATAAAATAAAAAGAAAAAAAAAATACAAATACCATAAAATAACACTGACCTCAAATGTTTGGCAATATGTATTTCGTTTGGGACACACTTGTTACGTGAATCCTATACAAAAACATGCAAATAAGAAGATTGTGTAACATTACTGTGCGTTGGTGTTACAGTTGGTGTCTGTGTTTGCTGTTGTCATACCGATGTTTCCGAGTTAAGTTTCAATACAAATTTATTACTTTTTGGATCGACTACCTCCTCCGCTACATTGAAATGTGGCAGCTTGTGTATTGAGACCATAAGTGATACATCATTTTGTATGAGTTGAAATGTAATATCACCCGCAATTGGTCGTGAAACTAATTCATCGCATATAAGTGACCAAGACTGTACCCATCTACGCTCTTTTTCACTCTGTAAAACTGGCGATTCCGTAAGGTATGGCTCCAAAAATGCTCGAGGTGACAAGTCGTGTTTAAGACAATGAGCCAAATGCTTAAGTATACTTTCGAATGTATGCCTAGGCTGTTGCCTAGTCACCCTTAAGTATTTCTGTAAGGCTCGTGCCATTGAGGGAAACACTGCTTGGGCGGCTTCATTAGGATCTAGTGGCACTGCTGGCGCTGGTTCATTGTGTATACGTTTAATGTGCGTAAAGGCTTCTTCAGCCGCTGTTATCAAGCGTGCTCGGCGTTTCTTTACTCTACGTTCATATTCGTGTTCTTCATAGAAACGTTCATTGTGTGAAGAATCACGGCGTCTGGCATTTGCTGCCAGTACTGCTCGACTTTGGCTCTGTTGCTGTGAGTTATTGACACCATCAACTTCGTAATATTTAAAACTAGTTGTTATTTTATTTCTTTGTGATTTTGATATGGGTATTCTTTCCAAATAGGGATTGTAAATGGGAAAGTCAACATAATAACGTTGAAGAACCCATACAGCGGCCCTCTGAATACTAAGCTGACCTAGTGTATATGATCGTGATATTCCATCGGGGGAGCGTATAATTTTCACATAATACATAGGCTGATTGTGGCGTAATTCCAGTAAAACAACAGCTATGTAGTGTATGAAGAGTAGTGTGTCCACTAGATTTGTTGCATAGGCCACTAAGGATTTGTAATCGACTGCTTCACCTCCTGTCTCAACGACAATTTTTGCGCCATTTGTGACCTGAAAGTAGAGTTGTTTTTTTAACAAATATAGAATAAATAACTTCCCCATAAAAAAGTATTATAGACTTTATCTATCTATCTATCTATCTATCTATCTATCTATCTATGTATGTATCTATCTATCTATCTATCTATCTATCTATCTATCTATCTATCTATCTATCTATCTATCTATCTATCTATCTATCTATCTATTATCTATCTATCTATCTATCTATCTTATCTATCTATCTATCTATCTATCTATCTATCTATCTATCTATCTATCTATCTATCTATCTATCTATCTATCTATCTATCTATCTATCTATCTATCTATCTATCTATCTATCTATCTATCTATCTATCTATCTATCTATCTATCTATCTATCTATCTATCTATCTATCTATCTATCTATCTATCTATCTATCTATCTATCTATCTATCTATCTATCTATCTATCTATCTATCTATCTATCTATCTATCTATCTATCTATCTATCTATCTATCTATCTATCTATCTATCTATCTATCTATCTATCTATCTATCTATCTATCTATCTATCTATCTATCTATCTATCTATCTATCTATCTATCTATCTATCTATCTATCTATCTATCTATCTATCTATCTATCTATCTATCTATCTATCTATCTATCTATCTATCTATCTATCTATCTATCTATCTATCTATCTATCTATCTATCTATCTATCTATCTATCTATCTATCTATCTATCTATCTATCTATCTATCTATCTATCTATCTATCTATCTATCTATCTATCTATCTATCTATCTATCTATCTATCTATCTATCTATTCACCCTTCCAAATGACCATAGCTAAACTTACCTGCACTATATAAAACAGCCAGTATGCGAATGTTGACAATGTGACCAGTAATAAAACCACTGCACGATATAGAAATATTCTTGGCATTGTGGCAGCGGAATGACGCATGAATAGAGCCCATAATCCAATGGCCAAAAGGAGCAGGCGAACAGCCATGGACACCAATAATCCTTTACACTCACTACCACAGGCCAACAATTGAGTTCTTACGGTCTGTGTCAACTCGGGGTGATCAAAGGCTGAGGGAAAAAATCCCATATGTGGCATTACGACCATGGCTACAGGCGAAAAAAATGCACAGAAACCAAGTAAAAATGAAAATATAGATTCCAAGTAACGTCGACACTTGAAGCCCAAACCAGTTTCGGACATTTCACGGTGCCAGGCATTATTGATGTCCTCCATAGAAATACTTTGCTCTGAGGTGTTTCCGGTAACGGCAGTGGTATTTTCACCCCAATTGTCATCTTGTGGCAGTATTTGTACCTCGATAATCTCTTGACCCTCACGTCCCTCATCACCAGTCATATTGACTGTCGTCTGGTAAGGATTTAAATCGCTATTGCGGCTATTTTTCGATTTAGAATGAGAGTTGCTGCGATGTGAGTGACGAGTGCGATCCCGGTGATAGCCATTGTTTATGGAACCACCACCACCTCCTCCACCATTATTATTATGATTTCTTGAGCGTCTAGAACGACCACTTTGTTCAGATTTAACCGATTCATTTTCCATGGCTTGTTAACTTCCTTACAAATGGGCGTTAGTAGTTTTCTTTTGTTTTTTTTTTTTTTGCCAAACACGCCCACTTTGGCACCTGTTACAATTTTCTTTTCAGTTTTTATCTTTGTTTTTGATGTGATTGTATTTTCTTTTTCAATTTTCTACACTTGCAATTGTTGTAATTGTAAAAGTTGAATAGAAAACAAACAAAAAGTCTATGTAAATGAGGAAAATTCTTTCACGCACACTGCTGTGTAGAAAAAACACATTAACACACACACATACAAGCGGTTTTTTGGGTAAAACCACAGGTAAAACGTACTTTACACGCCACTGGTTTTCAGGTTTTCTTGTACATATACCTTGTAACTTATGGATATAGGAGAGGGGGTAATTCAATGTAACGGGGGTGCGGTCTTGTACATTTGTAGTAGAAGTTTTTATGACTTTTTTCTTCTTTTTTATTGTAATATTTCAACAAGTTTTTAATTACTTTACACAATTATCTTCCATATTGCTTTAATGAATTCTACATTTAACTTTATTTATTTATCACATTTTCGTTACTTAAATTAATTTTTCGCCATAATTATTAGTAAAAAATTAAAATACTTTAGCTTAATTTCGTACAAACAAAAAATGTTTTTTCCAATTGAAAGAATTTTACAACAATGCTTCCTCTTCTTTTGATATAAATACTATTCACAATAGTTAAGCGTTCTTTATATAACTTGGTAGCACTTTTTTTCTATCTACAGTGTTGCACTGTGGTAGAGATTACTGAGCCGAGGAAATTTTATGACCGCCGCAATTGTAGGGATGACAGCGACGGTCGTTAGTCTACACTAAAAATCGTCAAATCTGGCAAAAGCGTGTACGAGAACATTTACTTCAAGTTTCTGGTAGCACTTCATACAAAAAGGTGTTTGCTACAAACACGAGATACGGAAAATACATTGCTGTTTGACAAATAAGAATATGCTAGGTCGTCAAATATATGTATTTTAAATGGTTTGTCACACAAAATCAGTTTGAAGAAAAAATTCAGCGATTTTTTGCGCGCACTGCATGTTTTCGCGCCATTTTTGCAAATTTTTCGTCTTCCATTTTACATACATATTGAGTTTGTAATAAACGTAGAACGTGTTCAGTTTGGAAATTGTTTGATTTTTTATTAAATTTAAAGTATAACATAATTGTTTATTTAAAAAGTTAAAAAAGAATTTTATTTCAAACAGATTTTGGATTTTCAACTTAAAATTCAACAATTTCAATAAAATTAACACTTCAATTTATTTTTTTTTTAGTTGTGAAGAGATGTCTGATTATGATTAGAATGATTGAGCTGCAGTCCTTATTTTGGTGGCGGCTTCACTACTAAATTCTAAAGTCAAAACGGTCCAAAATCGGAAAAAATCTACTTTATTTAAAAAAGCGATAGATACTTTTGGACAAATTCTCTTATTAAATGAGCTTTCAGAAAGTCAATTTATTTCATATACAAGATTAGACAGGAAAGCATTTGCAAATTTAGAAAAATTGATTTCGCCCATATTTAAAAGGTCTATACAAATATCTGTAAAAGAACGCCTAGCACTAACCCTCCGTTTTTTTGGCAAGTGGATGTAGCTATACATATTTTTAACTGCAAAATCTTGTATTGCTAAAATTATAAAAGAAGCTTGCAAAGCAATTATCTATGTACATATGTTCTGAAAAATTAAAGAAAGTTTTAAATGCATTAAAGCAATATATGTATGTATGTATTTATATTTATTAAATTAAAAAATTCGAATATGTTTTATAGTTACCTGAAAATGAAGAGCAATGGAAAATCGAAAACAAGAAATTTTATGACGGTTGGCAATTTCTTCATTGCCTTGGAGCAATTGATGAAAAACACATTGAAATATAAAAAAAACAAATAATTCCGGCAACTTTCTTAATTATAAAGGCAAAATGGCTATATTGGAGACTGTAGATTGTTTGAAAGTACATCTTTTTATTCAAAATTAATAGAAAAAAATTAAAAATTCCTAGCCCAGAAAATTTACCCAATAGTACTATTCAGGCACCTTTATAATGTTAAAATTATTCGTTCAAAATTTAAAAATAATAAAAATTTCACATTTTTTTACCTTACTCCAAAAGAAGATAAGGATTTTAAAGGTGAAAGTAGTTTTTAATAGTTTAGTGTTATATACCACAAGAAAATATCAACTCTCTACATTCAGGAACAAAAAACTTTGCGCAAGTTTGCGACATTTTTTTGCAATTTTTGCAAAAAAAAAAATTCATACTCTTCGTATGAATTGTTAATTTTTCGGTTTTTTAGAGGTTTATATAATATTTTTTTGTTGATAAATGAACAGAGGTTTCACGTTGATTTTTTTTCTTATGTTAATAATAAACGACAATTTTAAATGTTTTAAAGACAAAAAATAACTTAAATATTTATGCTGGAAAATTTGCTCAAAAAAATGAAACAGACAAAGTTTTTAAAACTGAAAGTAGCAAGTGTTTAAAAATTGTTATTACCGCAATAAAATATGAAAACTCTATTCCAGAAACAAGATAAAAAGTTTGCTCAAATTTGCTTAATTATTTTTGGCAATTTTTCGAAATTTTCACTTTTTTTTGAAAAATTTGCCCTTTTTTGACCAAAAAATGAAATCTCTACTTTGGGAAATAAGAAAAAAGGTTGCACAAATTTGTGCAAATTTTTTGGCAATTTTTTGAAAAATATTTTTTTTAACCCGAGCATAATTAGCAATGCCCAGCATACCCGTTATGTCATAAAATTTATATGGCTATTTTATCTTTTTATACATAAAAATCTAGACCGTTTACACTTACTATTTTTGACATTTAGGAAAATTCAATTTTTTCTAATATTTTTCGAAAAAGTGTGTGATATGAAAAATAAAAGGGAAAAATGGGATATTTATTAAACATTTATTTATAATAAAAAAATAGATATTTAAATATACAATTACCTTTTATATTAACTTTTCATTCATGTTTTTTAATTTATAAAAATTTTGTTTTTTTAGTATAATTTAGGAAAAAACAGAATTGTATCACAAAAAACTATTAGATTTTGAGTAGATTTTAACGAAATCTAGTTTTGTATGGGAAAACTAGTTAAAATCAACTATATTTGGCTCGAAATCTTATAAGTTCTAGATTTCGTTGTAGTGTAAATGGGCTATTAGATTTTCTTTTGGTATCTATGGAAATCAATTGGTTTTGAAACTATCTTTTTCATATTTTATCAGAAAGCTAAGAAACAGAAATTTTTTTAAGAAAGACTGGATCATCTCTGTTGTATATCTTTTTATAATAATTTATATATTTTTAATATTTTAATTTAATTTGAATTTGTTTTGCTGTATATAATATTAATATAGCTATAAAATATGAATATAATATATAAATAATTTTTATATATTTAGAGGACATTAACGTTCTGTATTAACCTCCTTATTCACACACAAAATTTTTATTTTATAAACAGTTTATAAATTAGATTTTGTATGGAAATTTTGTTTTATAAACCTTTTATAAAATAAAAATGTTGTTTGTGAATAAGGGGGTTAATACAGAACGTTAATGACCTCTGTTATTGTTGATCTTTAATTTTTAAATTGATCTTCGATTTTTAAATTAATCTTGGATTTTCAAATCGATCTTCGATTTTTAAATTGATTTTCAATATTCAAATTGATCTTCAGTTTACAAATGATCTTCAATTTTTAATTTGATCTTCAGTTTCAAATTGATCAATAGTGTTAACGGGTGTCTCGAATGTATCCAAATTGTTAGCTTTATTTTTGAAGAGTCAATTTTATTCAACAATGGAATTTGAAGAAAGTAGTAATTCATACTAAATTCAAAAGACAAAACGATCCAAAATCAAAAAATTTACTTTATTTAAAAAAGGGATACTTTTGGACATATTCCCTTATTAAATGAACTTTCAGAAAGTCTATTTCATACACAAGCTTGCCGATTTAGAAAAATTGATTTCGCCTTTATTTAAAAGGTCTATACAAATATCTGTAAAAGAACGCCTAGCACTAACCCTCCGTTTTTTGGCAAGTGGATGTAGCTATACATATTTAACGTTTTTAACTGCAATTTTGGCATCTTGTATTGCTAAAATTATAAAAGAGACTTGCCAAGCAATTATTTATGCTCAGAAAAATGAGATTAAATTAAGTTTATAATGCATTAAGGCAATATGTATTTATTAAACTAAAAAATTCGAATATGTTTTATATTTACCTGAAAATGACCGTTGGCAATTTCTTCATTGCCTTGGAGCAATTGATGGAAAACACATTGAAATAAAAAACAAATAAATTCCGGCAACTTTCTTAATTATAAAGGTAAACATTCAATTGTATTATTGGCTATTACCAACGCTAATTATGAATTTTTGTTTATCGAAGTTGGTACAAATGGCTATATTGGAGACTGTAAATTGTTTGAAAGTGCATATTTTTATTCAGAATTAATAGAAAAAATTAAAATTCATAGCCCAGTAAATTTATCCAATTAAACTATTCAGGCACCATTTGTTTTTCTTGGAGATTCAGCGTTTAGGAATTCTGAAAACATTATATAAATTATATCAAAAATTAATGCAACGCCAGAACAAGCTAAACTAATAACAATTAGTAACTGTTAATTGCACAACTTTATTCTAAAATGGAAAATAAGCATAATAGATATTGACGAGGAATCGACACATACTTTAGATTTGACTATCATTGCAAATGTTAGCAATATAAAAAAAGACAGTTCACGCACAAAATTTAAGGAATATATCAATAACCATTAAAAAGAACAGGATGACTGACTTCCAGAACCTCAGTTGCTTTGTGTACAAACATTGGCAATGCATACTGTTTCAAAATGTCATCGACAAGTATTATAAACGCAGCGGAATGGCAATCAGCGCATCAATTTCAAAGATGCTTGTTGAAATTATTTGTTAAACAACACAAACAGCTGGCTAACTAAAAACAATACATTGCATCTTCTATATTTTAGATCGTGAAAATAAACAAAGCATCGTTGCAATATTTTGAAACTTTACATGTGTACAAGATTTAAATACCGCAATGAAATTGTGTTTGGTACGTTTTGGGAAGTCAGCCAATTTGAAA